GTAACGGTAACGCGTTACTTTTAAAAAGTAACGTTCCCAACCCTGATTATAATTGATACATGGAATATATGGAAAACGACATAAGATAATGTGGTACGTGAAACGTTCAAGGGAGAGTCGAGAAAAATTACCAAAGATCATATCAGAAATTGAAAAATTAAAAATAGACATCAGTAACAGAAATGATACAGAAAGGAAACAGAACGCAAATGGCATAACACCAATCAATGTAGAGGAAGAAAGAGCGAAGGTAGATGAAAACCGTGAAAGGAACAATTAAATAACTCGAAAACGGAAAATCCTGTGAACCGAAAGGAATTATGCGGAGCTAATAAAAAAAACAAAATTGTGGGAATATTAACGAGATTATTTAATGAATGTATAAATGTCTAAAGAGTACTCAAAGAATGGAAGTTGACTCATATATCATCGATTCATAAGAAAGGCAATAGAGAAGACTACAATAATTATAGGGAAATCTCCGTAACAAAAATTAATGCAATCGATATTTAATCAGAACGTTAATTAGAACGTATCCCAACATTTCATTATAAACAATATAACTGTTTTATTTATTTTTTACGTTTCTATAAACATTAATAAACAAATAGAACATGAAAAAGAAATAGATATTTTTGTAAAAGAGATGAATAAAATGATGAATGATTCTTTATTAAATATGGAAACTAAATTATCAACGGCGGACGACAATACGATGTAAGTTTTTATTCTTCTTTCTTTGTTTCTTCGTTCCGGCCGCAACGCGACGTCATCGAGACGACCAATCAGCATCGCAGAAAAGAGACTTCAACGCTTCGATACATTCGAGAGATTTCGACTTTTGATTGACACGGACTTTTTCTGATAGGATATAAATAAAGTCATTTGATTCTATTAAAGCATTTCTGTCTCTATTTGAGTATGTTTTATATATAATTATAATCTTATATATAATAATTATTTACTACTACTTTTTCTCTACTATATAATTATTTATCTCTTCTCGATATACGTAGTACTTTCAATTATTCTCTTAGACTCTACATAAACATGCTATCCAAAATGCATTGACGTGGCCTAACATACAGCTATAATACCATCAGCTCGAGAACTATTTATTGTAGGAAAATCATAAATATCACCAGACCAGTTTGTGGTAAATCAATAGAATATTGATTGTGCCGATATTTCTTGTTTCTATAAAGAATTAGTGAAGATCCTTTCGGAGCAAATCTGTACTGAAACAAGTTTGGATAGTTTTAACATACTTCAACCTATACATATATAATTATATACTGCGTTACTATAAATATCTAATCCCAGATAGCCAAATCTGCGCGAACAGATTTTGAGCAGAGTTTGCTATCAATTTTGATGGCAAATAAATAACTAATTTGATGCAGGATCG